TATGATACAAAAATAATCGGACGACAAAATAATTTTATTTTTGGGAAAGTTTTTGAAAAATTTTTCAATTATTTGGATAGGAACATTTTTTTTAATAATTTAGGTGGCGTATTTTTTGGGAATATTGAGAAATCAAAAAAGTTAAAAAAAATCCGTATAATCAAAAAAAAATTATATTCGCAAGAATTTCTAGAAAATTATAAAAAAAAATTTCCGAAACAAATTTTTGAAAGATTTTCTAGAAATTTTTTGAAAATTTGGGAAAAATATTCCGATTACAATTTTTTTTTTATCCGGGGATTCATCAATTGTTATGTAATATGATTAAATTCTTAAATAAAATCTGTGGAAATAAAAATCAATAAACATTTTAACAAATTCCTAAATTTATTTGAAATTGGTCAATTCCTCATTAATTTTCCGCCGCCAAAATGAATTGAATTCCGAAAATTTTAATCAATTATCAATTTTCATCCCCCTCCTCATCCCCAGGCTTCCTTCTGGACTTCATCTCCATACCAGTCATTACAGGCTTCACCTCCGCAGCGGCAATTAACATCGCTTCATCCCAATTCAAATCGCTCCTTGGCATTCCTGGAAGGAGTGAAGGCCTCGTTGAAGCACTCAAAGGAATTTTTACCAATTTAGACAAAATCAATGGCTGGGATATTCTTCTAGGAGTTAGCACAATTTCTCTCCTAGTATTACTCAAGGTACCCCAAAAAAAAAACAAATATAACTCCCCACCTGCATTAAACATTAATTAATCCCCACAACCCTTGACTTTAGAGAAAAATACCAAAAAACCTTTTCCATTGAAAATTCAATTATCTATAATAAACTCCCCTACCACTTCTCTCTCAAATCAATATCTTTAGGGGTAAATGAAAAAATAAATAACGAAGACGTTCGGGTGTGAAAAAAAATTGATATCAATGTTATGAATTTTTTAATCGGTATTTTTGGAGGGAGATGGAAAGAGAAATTGAAAAATTCTCGTTTTGTTAATAAATTTTGTTGTGGAGCGAAGGGAGGGGGAGCGAGAATAGATTCTGCAACTCAATCTCATACAATAATTAGCAATAAATTTTTCAAGCACATTCCATCGAAACGCAGGGGGACACACCTCGAACAGATGGGATGGATCGTGACACTCTCTAGAAATGCTCTAGTCGTTATTTTGGGCACCGTCATGGCATACCTATTTCACATCAACGATATGGAGCCCTTTCATCTCACCGGTTTGTCAACGAACAATAAATTCTCACATCAATAATCTCGAGAGCTTGCTCGTCACTTTCATTAATAATTTTGGTGGCCAACACTAGGTTCAATGGGTAAAGGATTGCCACCGCTATCACCACCTCCATTCTCCACTACCTTCAACAATAAAACTTACAATTTCGTGGAGATGACGACTAATATGGGAACCACACTCTTCACTATTCCAATTATTTCCACCATCGAGCACATCGCTATCGCCAAGGCATTCGGTAAATCACGTCACTCCTAATTCTCCAGAAAATTGGGAATCAATTAACGAAATTACTAATTCAATTATCAATTGTACAATTGGTTATTGATTGGATATTAATTATTACAAATAATAATAAATATTGCTCAGACAGGGAAATATAAAATATAGAAAATACTGCTTACCAGAAAATCCATGAGATGGAGAATGGAAAATTGCTATTTCCAGAGACAAATAAATAAGCATGAATTTTTTAGCCATGGGAAAGCCTTTGGATGCCACCCAGGAGATGTTGGCCCTTGGGGTTTGTAATATATTCGGATCATTCGTCAGATCAATGCCAGTGACGGGATCCTTCACGAGGACAGCTGTGAACCATGCATCAGGCGTTAGAACACCACTTGGCGGATTATTCACCGGTGAGCTCGAGGAGATTTGATAATTAACAGATAGACCTCTCCATCATCATTCCCTTTAAATATTCCATTACTTCTCCAGTCCACAGAGAGGAAAATCCAGCGAATTTTGTTCTTGTTATAAAAAAATATAAAGATATAACGTCTTTATAAAATATATGGGAATGTCTATTGTTATTAAAAATATGGAGACACTTATAAATATCGTAGGGATTATCTGTCTAATTATCGAATTAATCACTGAAGCCTCAGGCTGGGGTTGAGATGAGGAATAAAATTATAATCCACGTATTTTCTAATTACAGGGGCTCTGGTGCTCTTAGCTGCTGGATTCCTCACTTCCTGCTTCAAATATATTCCCAAAGCTACCTTAGCTGGTGTAATAATCTGCGCGATGTACTACATGCTCGACTTCAAAGCTTATCGTCTTCTCTGGCAGGCAAAAAGTTGAGTTCCTCCGCTGAGAAAATAAAAATCAACAGCTTCTCAAACGAATCTCGTGGAAGTCAAACAAATTATTCATTTTAAATTACACCCGGTAGACATTTTTTTATTAAACTCCTGATTATTGGGATCAATATAATTATTTAGTTATTAAAATTGTTTAAATTGATTGGAGACAATTATGGGTGTCATTGATTTTGAAGTCATTTTTGGGTTCACATGGATGCGTTTGATATTTTTTTACCTCTTTTATTATTATTATTTCAGTTATTTTTAATTAGGGAAATTTATTTGTGTTGAATTAGAGGTGGATTTCATGACGATGGTGATAACTCTCGTCGTTTGTGTCTTCTTGGGTCTTGAATTGGGAATTCTTATTGGAATCCTGGCAAATCTCGTTGCTCTACTCTATTTCTCCGCTCGACCTGATATTCTAATCGCCGTTGAACAAGTAATTATTCCGATCATCTCCCTAAAATATGAAAATATAATCCAATTCCAATTAAATGTCAATAAAAAAACGAGGACTAAAAATCTCATTCAACCTAGAGATTGAAGAAAATTGATTTTTCATGTTAAATAATCAATTTTCCAATGAAAACTTGAATTTTCACCATCTCCACGATTTTTTAAATTATTAAAAATATAAAATTTTAAACATAATATTCAAGAAATTAAATGGTTCGTCGATGAAGAGTTAAATATTCAAATGGATTCACTCGAAATTTCGAGTGTAATTGGCCAGTAATGAATAAATTCTAGTAATTTGTCAATTTCAGGAGATTGAAGGGCGTCCTGTTGTTTACGTCACCCCCGAGGAAGCCGTGACTTTTCCAGCGGCAGAAAATCTTCGTGCAAATATAATGAGGCTTTCGGTGGAGAGCATCGGTAACGTGATACTCGACTGCAAGAACTTGAAGAGAATCGACGTAACCGTTGCCAAGGTGAGCTTCCAACGAGAAAAATCATCTCATATTTGTTTCTTACCCATCGCCTTTATGAGTCTCCTCACACCCCCATCTCTTTATCGATCATCGAATGGTCAAGTTCATTCTATTTACTACAGGCTCCTTCCTCAAACAGTAAATTCTATCCATTATGAAATTCCTTCAATTCTTTTTCTCACATTTTATCAATTATTTCCGCGCCATTATTATTTCCTCATTCCCCTAAAAATCTAATTATAAATGAATTTTCACTATTTTCAATAATTTTCATTAATAAATAGACCTGTGAATTAGAATCTTTAAATATTTAAAACATTCTCTCATTTTCATTTAATGCAAATAAATTTTATATAAATTAGTCGTTCGTGCATTTTAATTTAATAGTCTAATGGTTATAATCAATTATTATTATATATTATCCTTCATACAATGATTGGAGAAATATTCTCAGTGATGTGGTTAATGGGATTATTGGAGATTAAGTGAATCACTTTTGCCAGGAGAATTAACGTTAATTTATTGATCCTTTAATTACCAGTGCATGTGGCTATAGATCATGCAGTTCGAACGATGCATTATCTCATGCTCCAGTGAATCCATTTATTTCTATTGTTTCTCGCAAACTTGGTTGGATGAGAATAAATCCCATATTTCTACATTTATAACTCTCCCCTGGAATTTTCTTACTCCTGAATTTCCGGGGGATTCCAATGGGATAAATCTTCTCCTTAAATTGTTTCTGGTTGTTATTTGTTTTCAGAATATAAAACTACTTGCTCAGGACCTGTCGTTACGTGGGCAGGAACTTATTTATGTTAATGCCATCGATGATGTGCACCGGGTACTCAATACTGTCGCACCAGAATTGTCAAGCACTTTTAAAAGTACCGTAAATGCATGATTTCACTTGTTGAATTCTGTCGATTATCTGCACTGGATTTATATTTCATATCATTTACTTGTTTCATGGAGAAACAAGAGTTTTTAATGCAGAAAAAATAATTACGCAAATTAACACCTCGGGGGATAAATCAAAAAATGAAGATAATGTTAAATTTCACTTATCTCTGTTGCCAAATGAATTTTAATGTATCTTGGTATATATCTGCAATGAAGAGAATACAAATTGAATGCAAATTCAGTGAGACTGTATGCAATGAATAATGAATGAATAAGAATAGCTGACAAACAATGAGAACTATAATTAAAATTTTTCAATGCCACAATTGAAAGAAAGAAAAAACATTTCAACATCAGGCAAAACTTTATTTACGTACATTCTCCAGATATTTCCATAAATTAGAATTAATCTCAGGGAACTGTCAGGTGATATCGAATGTAAATATCAAGTTTAAGACAGTCCGATTGTTTAAACAATCCAGGTGTTGTGTAAAAATAAGAAAAAAAATGGTAATAATGCTCCATGGATTGCAAATATTATTTTCCATCTCCTTTGAATGCGTTCTTCAACTTTTCTAATTACTAGACGTAATCGGATGCTTCTGACGCACGTGCTCCTCAGCAGTTTCAGCACTCTCAAAGATCCAGTAACAAATTCTACAATAGTTTCTTAAATGAGATTTCACGTGGGTCGATAGTGACATGAGAGTCGCAATAGATTCACCGCAAAAATTGCACCTGAATGGAACCCTTGGCGTGTCCTGGAGCTAAAAATTGTAATAATTTCATTGAGCGTCCTGGTGAACAATTCAATATTATTTACCGTCATCCTCGAATTTTCCTCAGGCACTGGATTTTTCTGGGGAGTAAGCCATCTCTCCCCTGGCAGCTGTAACAGAATAATAAAAAACAACGTGAATATCCGTTGTATTACGAGAAGATACTGCGACATGACGAAATCTCATGAAAATATGAAGAGGTAAAATTCCTCCAACTTCTATCTTTATTCCCATGGTGAATTTCACAGGTGGAGTAGAGAAGATATTTCTTATAATAACATTTACCCGTTTTATTTCGTATATGAAATCCTTCTTGAGCATTCTCTCGCTGATAATACGATTGCAACGCAAATTGTACTTCGAATTGTCCATTCTGCTGTCACTGATTACACATTAAAAAATAAATAGCCAGTAATCGAATTTCATCTGTTTCACCACTGAAACAACTTCACATTCATGATTCGCTAAGGGAAGAGTAAAGAGTCAATATCTAGTAGTGAAATTCTCCATTTTTTAATAATTATTATGAAAATTATTTATTTGTCTCGTTTTATTACATTGAACCTTACAATAATTCCGTTTACTCGTTATTTTTCTGGAGAGAGCGTGACGAGAAGATGAAAGGTACAACTAAATATTAACGACAGTGGAATATCAGTCAATATGTTGAGTCATAAAATTTCTATCTACAGAAAAAAAAATTATTAACGAACAATCTGCTGTAATTTCGTATTGTTCTACATTTCATTGCATAAAAAATGTTAATCTTTATCTCTAAATAAATTCGATTCAAGTATAAATTTTTTTCTTAAATCATTTTAATGAATATTTACAGTTTTCAATGCGCTTCATTCAATCCCTATATTAAACATTACTTTCAGGCAGCTGCTATTGAAAATAAATTAATCAACCTTCATTCCTAAGGCTATTTAGGAAGGCATGACTAGAAAATTGGGGCTTGATTCTGACAGAGATGTATTGCAGCCGATTTTTCTTCGTTGAATAATCGTTATTCCCATTTTTATGACTTTATTATGATAATATTTAGCTAGGACACGTTGGATCAACATTTTGTGAATTGTTTTGATCTGACGGTGATTTAATGGATACTAGATGTAATTGGAAAGCAATTCTAGTGCCAAAAGGGCCAAAGCTTAAAAAAATAATAATTCAATTCGTAATTAGAATGAATTTTTTTATCCAAAAAAGAAGGCCAGTGTGTGATACCAGAAAATTGGTGACGAGAGTGTTAAATGGAGATCATATCTTCAGAACTAAGGGAGATGCTCAATTTTGTGTGGGAACTTTCTTTGAGAACTAATTGAAAGCTGCAAGAAAGGTTACGGCGGAATTTTTGTATCTCCCTTATTTCGAAAATTATTTGACAAAAACTCAGTGAAGAGATCAAATAATTCATCTCCTGTAATTTTTTCACATTTCTCTCGCGTGTAATTCAATTAAAAAATTAACGTAAATATATTTTATCGGTGTGACAAGGAAATCATTTATAAAGAAACTCGAATAATTTTAGAATCGACAGTAGAATATTTTCTCGTATCAAATAACTCATCTTTATCTTTTTTATTTATCAAACGCACATTTTTCTCTCAGTTCACAGACCTTTTGTATTTGTGACCTAAAAAAGAAAAAATTACTGTACCGTAAAATATAATTCCATCTTCAATATTCAAAATAAACCGAGGTTCCAGAATAAATGTGATCTAGGCTTACTTGAGTCGATGTTTCTCACACGAAGAACAAAAAATTCATCACGACTGACAGCGATTGAATGAATTTCGTTCTTTGTACTAAAAAATGAAGATACATTATTATTTAGGTAATGGTCATGAAAATTGCACCGAATTCAGCTAGCCGATAGCTAAACAAAAGTTGTGGTCTTATGCTAGGAGTCTCTGGTGGTTCTTATCGATGAATCTTGGTGTCTCAGAAGAGGAGCTCGCTCCTGACGCACCTCAGGGAGAGTTGCTAATTCCTGAAGAGGACTACGCTGCCATATACTCCTAGTTGCCATTTCATGATAGCCTCTTCTTCTCACCTGTTCAATAAAATTATTCAACTAAAATCCTGAACCACACGTTTGCCTCCTCACTCTACAAAATTATTAAAATAAAAAAAAAACTCACTTGTCTATGATGCAGTTCATGCAGGTACAAAGTAGAAAGCGACATATCAGCCGCAGTGAGTTCCACAGAAACCGAAAGATCAGCAGTCAGCTCTTGTCCAGAGCCAAATACAGAAGCCCCAAGTGACTGATTAGATATTCCCTGCTGGAGTTCATAGAGCAAACCCCTCTCACAGTGCAGTGGTCCCTCTGCTTTGCTCATTCCCCTCCTGACGAATTCTTCCTCCCTGCCACCCCCAGTCTCAGTCTCCCCATAAGAAGTTGCAGGTCCAAACACCTGACTAGCCCCCTGAAGACTCAAATTATTGACAACCGATCCCCTGATGATATTAGCAACAATATCATTGTACCCAGGCCCCAAACTCGACAGACTGTTCAAGCTACTCATCAGTGGATTTATCACCTCTCCAGGTACAACACTGACTTCCCTCTTGGCCCTCTCCCTCAAGGCAGTAACAAAATTCTCAGCGTGACTCGGTGGCTTCCACTCTGGATTAGTCAGGGTGAAATGAATGAGTGACAGCTCTGTCTTTCCATCCTCAGCCTGAGTATACTGATTGGACATCGGTGCTGGAATACCAAAATTATCGTATTCCTCTGTTTTATCGTCAATAGGAGTGATGGGGAGGGTCTGCCACATGGGATTTCCATGTTTTCTGACGTCCATTTGAGCAAAACTGCAGACATCGCCAACACCAGTGACTTCAATCGTGAAATTACGATAGAAATCGACAATGTCCAGGGCACGTTGACGCATGAGGAAGCACAGGATGAAAGGTGTGAAGAGGGGTGAGAGGAGTTCCTCGATAAGATGTACAGCTCTGTACTGGAACAGTTGAGCCACTTGAGACCTTGTCGATTGGGTGTGGGCGTAGCCCTTCCAGCTGTCAGGACGATAGTGCGTGTGGGCTAGGACAGCAGTGAGGAGTGTCTCAGGACACCATACGAGGTTTTCGTCGGGGATGAAAGCCCTGGCAGCTGCTACCAGGGCACCCAGGCAGGTTATTGTCGTCAGGATGTGCTCGACTGACAGAACGTCTTCGTCGTAGACTGTCAGGATTATCAGAACGGCTAGGATACTTCCTGCTACGAATGCCACATTTTTTGCCAAAACTGTCATCACTGGCGAGGTGAAAATACTCATGTACTTGGAGGCTGGACGGTATGCACGATTCAGGCGGGCGTTCAGCTCATGGTCTAGCTCATTGAAGTGACGTAAGTACAGACGACCGTAGAGTGACCACATTCGAGTGCCCAGTGTTCCGGGCTCACGTTTTATTATCTCTCCGTAATTGAAGAAAGAGTAGAGAATTTGCCAGAGGACTATCACTGGGCAGAGAATCAGATTTGCTATTCCAACCCAGAGGATGTGTTTGGAGAGGGCTCGGGCTAGCTCTTGGCGTTTATTTAATTTTTTGTAGTCTTCTTTCAAATGCCAATTGTTTTCAAAAGGTGACCATGGGCCCCCTGCAATTTTTATTAATCATAATTGCTTATATTATTTAGTATGGTGGAAAAATAAAGGGACGATCACTCAGATTTTTTTTTTCTAAATTAGAGAAATTATGGATTGAGGTATTTACGAGGGCTCAGTTTACGTGATGAAAATTTGAATCTCTCTTCAAATATATGGAAAAATAGAAGAGGATTAAACCCGAATTTATGGGTGTCTATAACGTGAATAATGAATGGATGAAAAATATTGACAGAAAAAAGTCATGCGTCTTCATAGAGCTGCTAGTCAGTTTAATCCTCTAAATATTCTGGGACAGCCGTACTAGACGTGAAAAAATACAATGTACAGTAAAATCCCGTTATAGTGGCACCTCTCCTCAATTTCTGCTTCCAAAAAAGAACTGAGAAGAATCGGAAAAACATCTTCTCATAAAAATTCCCGAGTGAACCCGAAATTTATCCAATAAAAATCATCTACTCACAGAATAGCAATAGCTCCATATTATATTTTAATCCCCTGGTCATAAAAATAACTTCTCCGATAACAGGAACTTTCAATCGAACTGGTAACAATGACTTATTGATCATAGCCACCATATAGTTCTTGAACCTCAGTATTCTATGATAAATATCCAACTCTGTGAGCTCTCTCTTGTGAATGCACATTTCCTGCTCCTTCTGCACTTCCCTCACCCTCTTCTGTATCTCATGCCACGTGAGATTGTCGAGGTCACTGTCGGCGATCTTCAGGGCAACATTGAAAAAATTCTTTATGTCCCAGAACTGTGTGAGATGATAGAGAACTTTGACAAGTCGTAGAATCCAGAAAATTCCAGCTACCAGAATGCACAGCCACGTGACAAGCCCCATCGAGTCTATGATCTCCTTGCTGCTGAGGATTGCGTCTGCAATAGTTGTTTTGTGCGAATTGTTTTCGATCAATTTATCCTTGAATAAAATCGAATAATCTACGCAGTGAAACAGGAAGGTGGAAAATGCGACGACGAAAATGAACTGCCCTAGTTCGAGGACCTCCTGCAGCATCATGCAACCGAATCCGTGTTTCTGGTGGTAATGATACATTCGCGTGAAGAACGAGTCCAAGTCCTCGATGTGATTCCATCTGGCTTTTCCACCCTCCGGCACCACGTGAATCATTACTCCGGACTCGTGTGGTGTCTCTTCACGCTCGTCATCATTACCACCAGCTTCACCCTCCGAAAAAGGGTCCAGCTGTTGATAACTCCCATCCAACACCGTCGTCATCTGGAAATTCACAAGTACGCTTCAACCCCTCAACTTTTACCAAACAAGAATTTTTGCAATTTTCGACAAATCTCATAACTTTGAATTCTAAAAAATTGTAGAATTAACAACAGAATTGCGTAATTGATTACAAAATTATAGAATTAATCACAGAATTATGAGAACCCCTCGTCGGTACAAAAAATACTCGTAATAGTCTCTGCAGAATCAAATGGCCGGAGAAAAATGAAAAGTATCGAGGAAAAAAGAAAATATTAAAAAGATTCTATCCCTCTGAGTAATAAATTCTCAAAATTTTTCTTAGGATCTCTTTTTATCTTTGAAAATAATTTTACATTGTGAAAGTATCCCAGGTATTGATGATCGAGTCTCTAATTATTTCGTAATTAAAAAAATTTCTTACAATGTCTTCATACTCGTGCGAGCAAGCGCAAGCCATTTAAATCCAATTGGTCACTCTTCATTCATATACAGAATATTCTTCTAGTTTGAAATAAATAAAAGCAGAAAAGCCACGGATTCCATCGTCCACAGAGTGAATTGTAAATGAAAATACGAATCACATCGATGCACATTCGAGTAATAAAAAATATCTTGACAGATTTATGCAGTTGTTAAACTGGAATGAAACGGACGTCACAGAGTGATCATAAAATGGTGAAAATAATAAAAAATTTTAAAGATAAATGATCATGATGCATCGAGAAGAAATGGAGCCTTACCGTTCTTGTTCTGCGGTTTGGCTCCACGCAGGTAATGACAGTGTCACGTTTCATTCTTTCATTTTATTTTGACAATCATTTTCTCTTTTTGATCTTGAATCTCAATCTACTCTCAACACTCGCACTTCGACACACGTGAAATGCAGGTCATTTGTGGTGTGATGACGATTTTTAGTTAGTGGTTAATTAATTTTTTTTTTTCGCTGAATGTCCGGAGATACGAGTGAGCAATGCTGAAAGTAAGTAAAATGAAGAGATGAATATATCTTGATGTTTTCATGGGGTAATCACTCGAGTATTATTTTTCATTTTCAGGATATTCAATACTGAGAATAAAATCAATTCTGAATTTTCTAATCTGGAGGTGAAAAAATTGTTTTTAAAAATACAAAACAATTTTCACGTCAATTCATCCTAAAAACTAATACAGCAATAAAAAAATTGTTTTTATTCTGTATTCAACATACGTGTCGTCATTGGCAGCCCATAATTTATTTGTCTGACAATTATTCAATTCCAAGATTAAACAATTGACCAAAAATCGTGATTCCATTTAAAAAAAACAAGGTTTCGCACACTAACGGCTTTCATAATGACGATCGGTCACTCGTTCCGCTCAATTAAATAAAACACATTAATGAATTCTTAGAAAATCAGTTGAATACTTTATGGTGTAATTTTCAAAGTGATTACCCCATTTATCTCTCCCTTTTTTCCTAGAACTGGCAAATAAAACATCAGCAAATCTTTGAGGCAATGAGGCAAAATGAATTATCTGAGACACCTCTCCCACATATTTATCCACTCCAAAACCTCTCATTTATCAATTAATAACATCATACCAATCAATCACGAAAACAATTGTCTCGTTGCATTGTCATTAAATAACACTTGACATTTCTCTGAATGATGCGCGTTGAACTCCTATTTTCGTATTTCACCTTGACTCATATCCAAGCACACTTTTTTTGGATGATCGTCACGTCAGAATTACTTTAGTAAACGAAAAGAAAAAAAAAAAGACTGCAAAACTGTCTTTGTCATCGAGTCAACAATGAGCAACAAAAAAAATTTCTTATCTCGTCTTTCCTGGCGACAGGAAGAGGAGATTAAGTGGGAAAACTCGTGGATTTATTTATAATGATGTTCTCCTATTTAATTAATTCGAAAAATAAAAGTGACTGTGATGTTTGGCAATACCAGCTGATCTCCATAAACAAAGCGCCATTGGCACGAATGTCTCACCTTCGTCGTCAGTTTTCTCGTTCTTCCTCACGTGACACTCTTATTATATTATCTAATTCATAAATTCAACACCTGCACTCACATATTGACTACTATGAATTAATCTAATCACTAGGAATTTTGTCATTGGGTTAATTAAAAAAAAGTTAAGAGGTGCGTTGCTGCGTGCGTCTCACCATTTCAGATGACTCTTTTTTTTTTCTTTTGCAACTATTTCCAGACATCTGGTGGATTTACTATTAACTAGTCAGAGCTTTTCCTCGATAAAGACATTTCCTGTCATGACAATGCAATTTATTTTTAACACAAAATCTAATTAAAAAAAAAATTATAAATATTTAATTTTGATATGCAAATGAAAAATACAAATCAATTATTTTTAATTTTTTATTCAAAAAGCTTGACTGACAATTTATTAGCAATACAAAAAAATTCATGAAAGACCAGTAAAAAAATCAATAATACTCGTAAATTCAATTCCACGGAGAGATTGACAAAGCTGTGAATATTTCCCTCAGGCTTTATGAGTTAGAAATTTATTTTCCTTCTCTATGTTCCCTAGACTCTCACTTCGACGTCTAAACTTGGAATTTAAGTTCAATGGCTTGACCTTTATCACATTGTTCTCCTTGAGAGGACTAGGAGGAGCCCTTGGTCTTCCTTCAGCCCTAGGTGATCCCTGAGCGGGTACAGACCTCCTCCCATGTATGATTTTGTTCTTGACTCTGAGTCCAGCACTGACAGGAGATCGACTCTTTCCACTCTTTTCGATTGTCCTGGGTGTCTGAGGGGTGCCAGTCTCCGTGAACATGTTACTAGTATTTCCCTTGGCATTCGGAGTCACTGGCGATATATTCCAGGACATAATTTTCTTGGGGCTCTGGGGTATCTGACTCCTGCTGCTTCTGTCCTTGCTTCCCACGTCTGGAGTGGAAGAAGCCACTGGTTTGGCCTTCGTTGTCTTCTTCCCGAGGACGATTGGGCTGGGGTCAGGAGTGCTCGTTGCAATTTTTAATGGAGACGGGACTTTTTGCTTCTTGGGTGGAGTTCCAGGAGGTGCAGCAACTCCAGGACGTTGCATACTTCCCAGGGGTACCAGGGCCTTCATTGGCCCCCTCTTTTTCTCCACATCATTTTTCTTCTTCAATTTCGCTTTATCCCCCACTGGAAGAGTTGACTTTATTTTCAAATTCAGGGAGTGATCGATCCGTTTTTTCTCAACAGCAACCTCAATACCAGGATCACTGCTGTTTCTTCTCTTCGCGAATTTTTTGGGGCTATCTGGATCTTTTAGCTCTGAGTTCCTGGATTTTTCCTGCTTCTGGGAGATCGAGGAACGACGTCTCAAGGGGAATGGCTTCGAAGTCTTTTGGAATATTTTCTGCTCGGAAATATAATGACCTGAGGACTTCAGGGAACGATTGGGAAGACCTGATTTTCTGGGGGAGTTGTGGGCTTTCTCTGAGTGATTTGGGGTGAGTACTTTGTTCAAATTCTCCAGGACGAGGGCTGGCTCCTCCTTGCAGCCCTCCAGCAGCTTCCCCAGGGCTAGTTGAATGTCTAGGATCAGTTTCTGAGTGACGAAATTGTCTTGGGTGGATTCGCGTCCTGAGGGGATCTGCTTCGAGGTCGATTTGCTTATCGAGAAGTTGACATTTACGTTATCGGGATCTTCCAGGGAAGGATTCGAGATCGTGGATGTGTTATCCTCTGTGCTCTTTTCTGATTCTTGATTTGTTGAGTGGGTTTTGTTCGTATCCCCTGAATCCTCCAGAGAAACTCCTCCACCTGGGGTCTCGTTCATTTGTTCATTTTCAAGATTTTGATGGGGATTTTCTTGTTTTTCAATTTTCTCCAGAGTATTAGGGGAATTTCCTGGAGAGTTTTGAGGAAGGTCAGGATTTTTCTCTGGGGATTTTATTACTCTTGATGATGGGATTTTGGAGCTTGTGCACGAACTGATGGGGATTTTTGATGGTGATGTGCTTTCGTTTGTGGACAGTTGATGGGGTTTATTTGATGACTCTGAATTATTTTGAGACTTGGCACCGAGAGCTTCCTCCAGGTCCTTCAGGAGTTTCATAACCTCTGGATTCTCTTCGGTTTTTATCACATTCTCAAGGTCTCGGAGTAGATTCACTGCAGCTTCTTTCTTGGAAGTGTCTGGTGGTGTCTTGGAAGCATTGAAGGAAATATTTGAGGTAGTTTTTGAGCCTGAGTTGTCCTTGGCGGAGGCGGAGCTGTCGCTGACAGTGGAATTTCTAGTCGTGGGCTCCGGGGAGAATTCGAAATTACTAGGAAGACGAGTGCTGAGGAGGTTCTCACCGCTGCTGCTTGATCCCCTAGTGGACTTCTCAGCCAATTCCTCAAAGGTCCTAGCCAAAATATTCGCCTGCGAGAAGATAGAATTTTTCCTGGCTCCCTCGTCCTCCAAAAAAACCGAATCTTCTTCCCCGATTCCTTCAGGTATCTCCTTGACCACCTGCTCACCGGAAGACTTCATCCTCAAATTCCTGAACCTGGAAATAAGATCACTGAAATTGGACTCAGAGCCCTGGGACTTCCTGTCGCTGCCACTGCTGTCAATGAATCCTCTGTTGGCACTGTCACTGGTGGATTTCCATGAGTATAAACTCCCAGAATTAACAGAGTTGAGTCTCGTAATGTTCGAGAGCTCTGAGCAATCACTGACAATGGAGTAATCTCTCTCACGAGACATGAATGCCAGGTTGAGTGGATCCTCGAAGAGAATCGAGGGAATAGAGTTCTGAGACTGGTTGTAATCATTGATAATTGATGTTGACCTCTTGGTTCTGACTTTTCTGGGGCTGAGTCTGTCCCCCTGGGAGAAGGACCGTCTCATCCTGGGATTCTTCGAGCTTTTATCGCTGTCCAGGAGTTCGGCATCGAGAGTTCCCTTCTTAATGCACATGGAGACTCTCTGAGCAATCAGGGATTTGATGAAACAATCGTCTGAGCTTCCCTCTGAGGTAGAGAGGGTATCGTTCATCGCAGAGTTGTCGAGGATGGATTTGTCCAGGGGTCCAGAGCTTCCAATTAGTCCAGAAAAATTCTTCGACATACTGAGACCATCTGAGAATGTTCTCAAGCTGTCGTTCATGGCTGATTGGTCCAGGATTGAGAGGTTTCTCCCTGGACTCGGTGGCTCCACCAGAATTGCTGGAACTTCATTCTTTTCGACGCTTGGGTTTCCCTCGCTTCGACTCGGAACAGAGTCCTTTGGACTCTTTGGGATTTTAACGCTCTCTGGAGGCTCCTTCGACGTTGCCCTCTCGAAGACGATCTCGAATGGATCTGATGATTTGCTAACGTACTCTGATGTCTTCCTTAGGACCATGTCGAAGGGGTTGTTGTCAAGACTTCGTCGAGAGTCTGATATGTTGAGGCCTGAGGGCTTCGGGGATTCATTCTCTGGGGAAGGAATCAAGGGCAACGGCAGCTCTGGACGCAGTCTCTTCTCTTCTGGACTATTCAAGTCTATCAAATCACTCATTTTTACTGTTGGGCAGATCTGGGAAAAGATGAGATAATCAAAAATAAAATTTCTTCTCCAGAAAAAAATCAATCATTGAATTCCCGACATTTCTGGGAGATCATTCATTCTAGTGGATTTTCTTTGGAGAAAAAGGATAATGAATTATTACATATTTTACAATTATGTTTTTATTGTTTATCCAGTATTCTAATGAATAATGTTATGAATAATGGGAATGTAATAAAATAATGGAAATTTAAATCGGAAATTTTTAATGAACAAACAAATTTGAAAAGGTGTTGATTATTTATTTGAGATATTAATTAATTTCAATTTTTAAAGATGGTTTGTATATATTTTTTAGGTTAATCGTAACCGTCAGGTACTCACCTCTTTCGAACTTTTATCCGAGGATTTTCGGTAATTATTGATGCAATCTCACATAACCTTTAGGGAATAATTAACACTATTTTTAAATAAACACTTGGGACTGTTATGGTCAGGTGTTTTAGTGAATAACAATTGGGTAAACGCTTTTTACTCGGGCATCAACAGATATTATATATCAGAATATTAAAAAGGGGGGGGACTACCTGTCGAACGTCCTGGCAGGACAATTTGAAAAGAACAGCTGTTATTGGTGAATTCCAAAGAGGTGGGGACCTCTGATGGAGAATTCCAACACATGTTTAAATTCAAGGCCTCAGTGTCAATTTTTTTAATTGAAAAATCCTCTGACAAGTAGAAATTCTGGAACCACTCGATAAACAATCCAAATTTTTCAATTTCCTTCGAATCTAAGAGAGATATTGAAATTTTCCTCGGGACCTTTTTTGTAGAGCGGATTGAGATCTACAGAAAAGATTTTCACATAAATTTCGGTATACCTCTCAGATTCGCAGATATTTCTCGAAGAATTTATTATTTATTGGTTTCGTGGAGAAGAGAGTAATTTAATTATGAATTGATTACTTAATTGAATTTGTTGGACTGCTGTTAAATGAGATTGGGGGTGAGAGGATTCATAAGCGGAATGCAACAGCTGTCGAAGTTTTCCGATGATAAAAAAAAAACTATTGAATCGTTTGATTGAGCACCTATTGCTGGGCGCTGGAGAAATTGCCACTTGGCGTTTCCTATTTGATTTTCTCTGTCGAACGAATTTATCCCTCTATTCCCGAGCAAACTTGCGATCAAATTAACTCCAGAGGAAGTAATGAAAAACAAAATACAACAAGTCGAAACAACAATCACTCTTCTCGGTGATCAATTAGCGGAGTTCAGAGGACAGACTGACAGAAAAAAAATACACGTATCAACATTTTTTCTATTCCATTTCTCCCATTTTTTCTATTCCATTTCTCCCATTTTTCCATTCCACAATTTCTGAACATTAATAATAAATAAAGTTATTCAACGGATTACGAGCCATGACTTCCAAAATCTGCAATTGAAGATTTGAGTATTTTTTCGTATTAATTAAATTTTTATTCAAATCCCTATAGGTTCTCGATTTAAAAATTGCACTGAAATTTTTTCTGAAAAAATTCCGGCCAGTGGATATCTCGATTTTTGTAAATAGTTTATCTATTATTATTTATATCCCGCCAATCACGTGTGGAATTGGAATTTTAATTCTTCGGAAATGTTTTAAATATAAAAAAATTGTCGGAAAATAAAGAAAATGTTTTGTAAAAAATCCCCAGATTTGGAATCCGTGGGTATTCAAATAATTGATGATAAAATGTATTGATAAGACACTTTCATCTCTTTATCATCACTTTTCTGGTCGATGCGTCTCCCAATAAAATCCTAGTCTCTGGCTCAGTCTTTCATGGGACTTCGTACCGCACGCACGTATTTCCCTCTATATCCGCGGAATTTTCCCGTCAAATACTCCATTCAAATTTCACACCACATCGAGCAATAAAATATCGATTTGGTGTATTCCCTGGTATCACTACGTGCGTTAATAGCTCATTTAGTCGGTGTTATAGCGGTTTTTGTGAGGCCAAAATTTCGGGAAATTGCCAGTTGTGTTGTGAGGAAATTCAGTGCATGTTACGTGGTTGTTGGATCAACAAGTTGTTGCTCGTCAGCAACCGAGTGGATAAATTCAGTGACGATTTATCATTTTTCTTATATCTTCTGATAAAACACCGATCTGCTCCAGACGTTTGCAGAGAGAAAAAAAATTCCAGCGCTGAGTAAATATTTTTGCAATCACACAAATTCCATACAATTTCTTCACATTCTCCTCTTCAGGTTTGCCTCTACTATCCAAATCAAGAGGAATGCACTTAAACGATAAGCAATTACGTTTCAGGCACTTCTTGCTGTAATCGAATTTTTCTCCGAGTTTCAACCGGTAAATAATAAAATTTGAATTATGTGACATTTTTTTATCATTCTGGTAATTGCACCGCAGATTCAAGCTTTACCCCAATAAATCCTCATTGTCCCGTTGGGTCCGGAGAAAATGGAGAAAAAGCGATTTTTTAAATATTCATGACTCATGAATAAATTGATCGAGATCATTGGCTTTGCGCACGTTGCGGAGAGAGCGAATATCTTGGGATCTGAGAGAGATAGCGAAATTTTTTGTAGAAGATTTTTTGGAGAGGGGAATGAGAGCTGTGGAAATGGATTTCACCAGAATTTTGATATCTTTAGTAGATCCGGAGATATATCTCAAAAACGTGCGGATTTGGGGAATTGACTTGTTGCTCTTTACCTGTTGGACTCTGAAATATTATTTTTAATCGGCAATTCCTTGGGCATGGATGGATTAATGTAATTCTACTTTTTTCAGTTTGTCTTCCTCCTGTCTAGAAAATTATTATCATTAGGTTTTTAATTTAGTTAAGTGATCGACTGGGGGGAATTGTGCCGTCTGAAAACTGATACGAAGCTCTATAAACACAACTTTTTTGCTCTTATAGTTCTTCGAATAAAAAATCTACTTATTAAGAATTACTGTACGTACAGAATAGGGGGAATCCCCTCGAGATGGAAATTTTCACTTTTTTATTTATTTGAGGATAAATAAAAAATTATTTTTTAATACTTGTTCCTTCGTTTGTACTACAGGATTTTATTTATTTCTCAACAATTAGTGATGAATATTGTCTCACACTCTTTTATTTAAATTTTCCAAATTCTTGTCTCCGTTAAAAAAAAATTTTTGTTATTGATTTGCAATTACAATTAAGTACAAAATATATTTAAAGAAATTATCCATTAATTCCGTGATGAATTAATTACGGAACGTCAAGACAAAATGTCGAATTATCAAAAAAAAAAAAAAATGCTTAGCCCTCTGAAAAAATTATTGTTTTCGCATCCCTGATGCAACTTGAACTCGAAGGATAATTGACCTTTAGAACTCAGTGAACTGATCTTTAAATTGATCGGAGGACATTTAGTTCAATGAAAAATCGAACATGCCGTCCAATAGTTGGAACAGGGAAGTAGATCACCTTTACATTTTTTTTTTCTCATCCACGTCTGTGTTGACATTTTAATTAATGAAAGTCAGTCAATGCAGACACGTGCAAATAGTACTCTATGGAACACGTATGCCTTTTACATCCCCTTTGGCTCTTGTTTGTGTGACGTCAATGGACATTTGCGCACAATTTGTCGCGTGGGTATCGGCAAAGTCTTGATACCAAAGGTTTAATGCAAAATGTTTGTTAATTTAATTATACAGGGTGAGTGCAGAATGCCCGGTCAAACACTGTTACCCCAGCCAATATTGTTACTCTCCATTTTTTTATTCTTCTCCCTCCAATCAATCTTCATTTATTTTAATTGAGGGAAAAATCCGGAGTATTGATGTTCATTATCTTCTAAATTGAATTCAATTTCAGGGTAATGGAATTCAGCTCGAGCTTCAAAGAGCTCTGATTTAATTTGATCGCCTGTCGCAATCGTCACGTGTCATTTAATCATGATAAAAGAGGCTGGAGTATGTAAATTCTCTCAATTACGAGTGTCTAAGTACTTTCTCCAGTTTTTTCACCACCAAAACCCATTTTTTCTACATTTCATTCCGACCCATTCATTCTAATTTGAGATTTGCTCTTGATTAATAATAATTAAACGTCATTAATCAATGAATAAACAATCATTAACAGGCTCGGAGTTTTTCTGATTTGTTTAAATGTCAAAGAAAATTATTTTGGATTTTGGATTAAAAATATAAATAATCGAGATTTAAATTATTGCGGGAAAATCCACGGAAAAATTGATTATTTGCAAAAAATGTTATGTGTAATTATGTAATCGTTTTTTTTCCACTGGGCTCAATTTATTACCTTGATTTTATGCATAGGGCTGCACGAAATTGAGATCGTTACGTCGCTATTGAAAAAGAAAAGCAATTTGCATTAATGTAAAATTAATGGGTCTGGCTCGTTGCGTAATAGTCATTTACCCGACATTTTTATTATAAGATTTTGTGAAATAAATCTTCCCTTTGAGATTATTATCCGGGTAATATCGGCGGTAAGATCTGCGTGGGTGTACATCTGTGGTGAAAACATCAAAGAAATAAATATTCCAATCCATCAATCTTTTTTTAATGGCAAAAAAAATTACGTCAGTGTGGAAATTGAAGAATAACAAAATTATTGTTTTTTTTTTATATCAATGACTTATGATCCGGAATTTCTTATTTATATTATTATCTCCATTATTATTTGAATTGAGAATTAAATTAACTTCATGATTTCGTTGTAATTGTGGAAAATTACGAATGCATTTCAGTAAATTAATTAATTTAAAAAATAATCTAAATTTTATTCAGAAAGATTTTTTTTTCGTGTCGAAATCGATGCAAAAACCAGAGAAATTGAATATTTGACTACAGTATTTTTAATAATTTTTTGTTAATCATTATTTTTTGGTATTAATAAGTAATAAACAGTGACATAATTATTCGTGAGTAAAATTGGAGTGGCAATTAATTAAATTGGACGACTTTTTGCCAGTAAAATTATGTTAATTATGTTAATTATTAATTATCTCGTGAATAAAAATCTAGACTGCCAATAAAAATAATTGTGCCTTCGGATTGTCTATTTACTTCACTCGACATTAATTAACTCCCCAAAAAAAAATCTCCAATTCACCCCCCGCCCCTGATTGAGCCCCAAAAAAAGAAGACAACGATTTTTCAATTAATTTCCAAAGTTAAACAAAAACGAATAGAACCACCAAAAAGAATATAAATGATTAAATAATTAATTAATTAGAGTAATCGAATCGATACTTGCAAAAAATCCTGTCAGATATATTTGGATTAATAAAAATTAATTAATAAATAAATCTGGATTACTGAAAATTTACAGAGGACAGAAGTGGCCGTGACACTAAGATACGATGATCCAAGGATTCAAGTGAATAACAAGAAAAAAGTGAGAGACAAGTGGAAATAGAGACTGTAGAAAATAAGTGGATCAATCCCCAGTGGTGAGGATTGCCCTCGACGATGGTCTGGAGCCAGGGGATCCAACAAACTCCCATCAGTTCACCCCAATATTTGTCTCCCTACACCTTCCAGGGTCGAAACTCCCTCTGCTCCGCCAATGGTAAGACATTTTTTTTTCCTCTCAACTTTATAGCTCACCTCCCCTTTTTTATGTCCACCGAAGAGACGAGACTGCAAATACCTCCAGATATATTCCTCCTGATTCTTTCAGATTATACTCTACGAAGGAGACGTCCAATGACACTGAAAATTGGACCGAGACTGTGTGTTCCTGGTCGAAGTACTTCAGCTCCAACAAGTACGACTGATGGAGAATGGCCTGAGCACAGGTGAGTGATGATGGGAGTAAATTGAATCATCGGTCTCTTGAATCTTGACAGGGACTCGAATCAGGACACTTTTATGATTATTATCGAGCTAGGGGCTCAAAGGAGCTCGCAGTGTGGAAATGGCTTGGGCCCCTAGGGGCTCATTTATAGATTTCTGGGAGAAAAGTTATTCCTTTCCGATTGAATCTCTCCAATCACCAATCCATTCCGCATATTCTTTCCTCCCACACTGGGAAAACAATTACTCTCCCTGAATCAATTTCTTCGAGGCACATGTACAAGTAGGTGTAAGTGAATTAATGAATTTTAATCTGGGGATTTTAATGAATTTTAATCTGGGGATTTTAATCTGAATTATGAATATTGTTATGATATTATTATTTATTTATCATATTTTTTGGTGATATCAACCGATCTTCACTCACGAAACCAGTCTTAATGATAATAATGAATAATTTTCATTGGACGTTTAATTTATTTAATTTTTGAAAGACGTTTGAAAAATCGAAAATAAAAATTCAAAGGGATCACGTGGATGGGGCTGTAGGGGAAGCGAATTCGGAGATTCAGAGAAAAAAAATCTGAATGCAACTTGGCCCATTACGTGCCTACTGCGACTATAAACTGAATTGTTTCATAACCAATTCGAATGTTAGAGATAATATATTGTTCCTGGAGAAGGACTCATGATCTAGACTTCCATTATTATCGACACCCAGGATATTTCCCCCACGTTTTACCCATCGAGGGTAATTCACCCCTGATAACCCGCCAGACCGCGATAACCCCCTTGTTTTAGGAAAATCCCACAAGGGCGTTGTCGTCATGAATCCCTCAAAAAAAAAAATAATCCCTCGGCGGCAAGTGTAAGTGCACCCAGTGGCGTTGTGGTTTACCGCGTGATCAGAGGAAATAGTTGGCCAGACAGTTGTTGGATGCCGGTTGGCACGTGTCACCCATCAATTCTCATTACGCACAATACTCTGTACCTGAACCGATCAAGTGATAGTCGATTTATTTTTCAAAATAAAAATTCAAGTGGAAGCCGGATGGGGTCATAAGATACGAGTGCTCTTATCGCGGTCATTGACGCCTGTTAAATCATCGATCTACAGATTCTACACCATCGTCCATTTTTCTGAAAGCATCGGTGAAATAATGAGAATTTAATAATTCCGAAGATCGATGGGACTTCATACCGTTTTGATGGCGTGCCCTGGGGTTTGCAATTAAAGGTTCGATCGATCATTGTTGTGAGAGAATTGTTTTTTTATCTGGTGTGTGACATTTGCTGTGGCCACTGATAAACAATAGCGGTCATAATCTTATCGAATCTCTATTGTCCGGTTTTTGTTGTCCATTTTGTTGGGAGTCGCGGGGGCTTATGGGGGATCGATTTTGGCGGGAACGCTAACGATTCACGATTACAAAGGGACTAATTAATGGACTGGTAGCATCAGGCCCTGAGGAATGTGATCTTGAGATCATACTGAGGTACGTGGAGCTCTTGGTTGGAGAAGAATCCATTTTTCATTGATATTTCTTCATGATTCTATTGATCAAGTGGAGATTGACTCTGGGATTTTCATGGGAATTGTTGAGTCACTCGATTTCAAGCAACCGAATTCATTAATAACTCCATTTTTTACTGTTGACTCAAATAATTCGGGGTAAGAGAAAATTCTGTGAAATAAATCGATAAAAAATCTGGAAAATTTCGATATATTCATCAATTTTTATTCATTAAAGAGTTAATAATGGTATTGTGAAGAGAACAATTCCAAGCGGGAATAGAAGCTTCATTATTTCTGTCCTTTGACATGAGTCATAAAAAAATATTTAATTGGGACCAGTAGCTACTGTTTTGGGGCGAGTAATTATTTTGTTCTCTTTTTAAACAGAATTCAGTTCTTAAATCCCTTGCACTTATTTTCCATCGCTAATTTAACCATCCAATTAAAAATCCCAAACAATCCAATAATCAATAAAACTCGGGTAAATTCCAGAATATTTCCTTGATGATATTCAAATGAAAAACGAATAACTTGCCAATGAAATAAAAAATTGATTACTGAACGGAAAATTTCCACTAGCCTCAGTATTCCTCGGGGATTTGTCCAGGATTATGTAACGAGGATAAATACAGTGAGGAATTAACAGCGATTAAATAACGTGTAATGGTGAAAATGGATGGCTGAGAGCAAGAGCACGAATGGAAAAATCTAATATTGTGACAGTGGAGGAGAAGTACTGGGACATGATCGATGGAGCTTAATGGATATTAAAGGGTGTTTTTAGTTGGGGTCAGTGTTGGGGGGTGGGTTTTACTAATAATGAGGTACGACAAGGGCAAACGGGAAATGTTGTCACGGAGGGCGTGTAGTGAAAGTGGTCCATATCCTGATGCTGGTGTTGCTGGTACAAGTGCTGGTGGTAGTGTTGGATCTAATTGTGGACATCTGTGGGGTAAAAAATATCGTGGACAGACATCAGCACCTCTTCTTGGCACTGCAGGACGAATTCAACCGATTATTTTGAGGACACGTCGGAGTTGGCCTGTTGCACCGAGTCATTGCAGGAGGTAGGACTCACATACAAATCGATTGCTCTGCATCGATATTTCCTCCAATTTTCTATTATTAGGTCAATTATTATGTGGCGAACGGATTTAGATAAAGCGGACCTTTTTTTTTATTTTATGGATCACTCGGAGGTGAACTTGAATTTTTTTAATATTCTGGAGATTATATTTAGGATATATTTCTATATCCTAATAATGTATTAGGAATGTTGGAAATTGAGAATAGAATGGACTATGGAATAGATACAGAATATTTTCCATTAATCTGGCGGAATTTTTAATTATTAGAGTTTGAAATTAATTTGAGGAAAAATTTTTCGGTTTTTGAGGAAAATTTATCATTGGATCGAGTGCGAAATTTTCTTCAAGTAGATAGCAAATACTTGAATCAATATTTAATTCGATGGCGTCCCATACATAATATTCAGTTAATATAATCCTGAATTAATAATAATTTTTTTATTTTAAGTTTGAAGCGTTCGTGGATTTTTTAACGAACACTCGGTTTTTTCGAAATATTATTGCCCGAATCTTCTACCCTTTCGCGATTTTTCTTGCGTTATTTTTACGGTAAAAGTTTCAGGTGCACTAAGGTAATGGGTAATGGGTTTTATCATTATGATAATGAAGGAAAGTGGGGGGAGGGGGGAAGTGTCATGTTTTAGAGTTGGGAGCACTCATTTGGGGGTATGAAATTACAGGTGAGAGGGTCTAATCATGAGAATGCTAATTAAAAAAATATTAATACAAAGGGACAAGATGTCATGGGCATTTCCAAGTAATTAATTACGGAATTGCCAGTAATCGAAAAGTTTTCAGGACTTGAAAATTCGTGGACATGTGAGACTTCAATCTGTCAAATATTCTTGGGGTCTCATAAAATCGCGGTGGGTTTTCAAGATCGCGAAGAATTTTTTAAAAAATTCCTCAATTTTCCTTGAGATTAATTTATGAAATTTTTTATTATATTTTTACAAATGGTTTTCCATTTTTTATGATATTGATAGAATTTCAATTGATTTATTCTGAAATTGATATTTAATAATTCATTCAATTACTTTGAATTCAAATTCAATTGCGGAGTGCTTTGATATCGGATATTAATATATTCATTGAAAAACTGCAGTGAATAGAAAAATTCCTATTCTTCTATTGATTGAATGTATGAAATTCAACGAAAATTCTGATGCCTTTCCAAATTTCGTGACATTTATCCCCGAAACGAAAATGACTAGTGAAATATTGAACATGATTACATTTTCCCAGTGCTGTAAGCAATCCCTTAAAATCGTCACATGCCCCCGTCAAAAAAAATAAATAGATCGAATCAGAGATCTAGCGGATAAAATCCCTGACTAAAATTTCTCTGCTCACCCCTTCCCAACATTTCATGAATTTCAACAACTCCGGGAGCTATAAAATATTTCTCTCGGACCTTTCAGCCGACCGGAAAGACAAATAAAAAGAAATTGCTCCACTTTATTCGCTGGAGCGGCAAAAAATCTGTAGATTCATTTCCTTCAGCGAATGTATTATCCAAAAATGGAAGTTAATAATAGCTCCTCCAATCGGGGAATCAAGCACTCGTTGAAAAATGGAATTTCAAAAAAAGCTTCCTAAACGGTTCAATCAGCCCATCATAAAGGAAACAGTAAAAAATTCTCAGTTATTTCCCATCGGTTAAAAAATCTCAATAAAATGAAATAAAAAATAAAATCGCAGGAATATAATATAATAATATACTATATAATAATATAATAACAATAATCTCCGCCCGAATAAATTTAACATACAATTCTTGAATCGAGTAAATTTTAGACTTGACGTTGGAATATTTAATAATAAAAAAAGCTTCTCGTAAAAAAATCTCAGGTAAATTCCTGAAATGTTAAAAGATCTTGAAAATGAAAAAAAAAATTGTTGTAAATGGGTAAATTTTGAAGAGTAAAATTGGTTTAAAGTTGTACGAGACTAACTCGATGGGTCAACAGAAAAAATTCTCATTATATCTCAGCCGTAAGGTAGAGCGTTTGAAAGGGACTTTCTCATAATTTTTTTTGTTCCTCCCCAAGCTTTCATGGAGTTTAATTCGTTTCCTCTTGGTTCTGGGAAAATACCCCTGCAGCGCAATATATCCCCATGCTGTTGATGCCGTGACATGCAGCAAGACTTCCGTGGGGGCTGTTTTACGGTACACACGAACCACACGAGATACTTTACCGGGTAATAACCCCGCAGTAAGAAATATGGGCCTAAAATGGATCGTCGGGGTAAAATGGCCCACAATCATCTCAAAATTCCCCGAATTTTCCTGCTCTCCATTTTTTTATTCAAGCATTTCTGAAAGACTAGAGTTTCATATACATACGCCATTGGCAGTATATAAATAAAACTATTTTAATTATTCCATCTTATTTTATCTTATTTACAAAAAAAACATATTTTGAAAAATGAAAAAAATCGGTTGAATATCGGATTTAAAAAAATTCAATTCAAATAATCAAATATTTGTTTTTAAGTTGAAAATGTTGGAGTTGATAATTTTTTATTGTTATGTAAATTGATATATTAATTAAAATTATATAATATCAATAATTAATTCTTTTAATTGTTCTTTTAATTGAATTAAAAAATGGAGACGATTTATTATCATGATGACGTGAATTATTTAGATTTGCAAATTTCATGAAAAGAGGAACAATAATATAGAATAAATAAACTGTGAAATTTTCTTTGAGACCATTTTGCCTC